ATCTACAATAAATGTCGAGCAGCTTTGTTGACTACAACCTTGCAGAAACAAGATACATATTTTAAATCTCAGCAGAAATGTTTCTCTATGTTTTGGGATATTCTGACTTTATCAGCATCATTAAAATATGGATTTTGGGTTAATAATGGATTCTAAATTAATAATTTGTGCATGTGCTTTCAGGATTGTGATACATCCTGATCTGAGTCCTCGCTGTAACAAATTTAGCCTCCTGCAGGGTGGACTAAAGAAGTCTAACTTTTTTTTTCACAGCTCCAGTCATGGAGTCATTGGGCTTCTTGTTCAAATGTTGCTGACACTAAAAATCTGATAATTTCCTAAATTTTGCCCAGAGGGGGGAAAAAAACGTTTGCAAAAGAATTTCACATCTAAATATTTTTCTTGCTGATTTAAAATTAGCCAGAGCTGGCCGAGCGGAGCCAGTTTGATTCCTTTCATTGAGAGCCAATACAATGTTTTTGAATTATTCTGTTGGTGATCATAAATGGTGGCTGTAAGATTAAAAGAGCAACAGGTGACTAGTGCCTCTGAAGATGCAAACCAGTTGAAACTGGTTGAACTGTCAAAAAAGGAGATTAATATATTAGAAGGTTATAACTAAAATAGCCTTTTTATTACCGGTAGACTGTTTTCACCTCTCATCAGTCCTACCTGCTGTTTATTCTTAGGCTCATAACTGGGTTTGTTGTGTTTCAGGACACAAAGTCCCATCAATGTCTTCAGAGGTGCAGCTGATTTTGTGAGGAAAACTAAAGACAACTTAAATATATGATGCATGGTTTTACCTTTACATGCTTCTTCTCCTCAGGTCATAGAGAAGCTGGTGTTGCTCCGGCAGTAGCAGTGTGAGAGGCGGGGTTCACCCTGGACAGGTCACAGGACCATCACAGGGACGCACAGAGACAGAAACCATCAACACACTCACCCACACCTAGGGACAAGTAAGACTTCTCAAACAGATCCTCTTCAGCCCAAAGGAGGTTTGTGCTTGAAATATTGTGCCAAACTGCAGCTGAGTGTGCCTCAGCACTGACAAACTCTACTAAAATTATCTTGGTATCATAATAAACAGGAGATTTCATCACAAGTGTATCAAAGCAGCTGCATGCAGCTGTTTGACAGTGAGGATGGAACAGAAAGAAATAGAATTTTTTCCCCTTTCCTGAAGTTTTTATTTATTATTATTATTGTTATTTTTGCTTTGGACAAAATATAACGCTGAAACTAGTAGAAAAATAGAAAATTGCAAAAAGTAAAAAAGGCTGAATAAAACCAAAAGAGGAAGTTTGTTCAGTTAAGCAGAAAAAGCTGAAGTGAACACAAAAAGGTGAAATTAGCTTTTTTATTTTTATTTTAAAAAGCGCAAATTAACAGAAAAACAGCTAAACGGTACATAAAAAGACAGAAAAATCTGAAATGAGCTAAAGGAGCATAAAAGCTTAAACTAGCAGATGTAAGTTGAAATAAGCATGAAAAAACTGAAATTAGCTGAAAGGAGCTGAAGGAGGCTTCATACAAACGTTCAATCAAAAAACTGGTAAAATGAGCTGTAAAAGACGATAAGCATTGATTTGAGAGAAAATATTCATTTTCAATGAGAATAAGACACAAAATTATAAATAATACAAAAAATTCTTATAAAATATTTGATTGGTTCACTTTTGTTCAACAATATACCAGCTCTGGTCTGAATCTGAATCTAAAAAGGTCTGAAAAAGCTAAATATTTCAAAAAGTAAATATTGCACAAATAGAAAAGCTCATAGAAGTACTTTTCTGAATGAGTTGAACATTTTAATGTATGAATTGTTGAAATATAT